GAAGAACCACAAAAGGATAAGCAAACTAATGCTCTGTTGGTAGAAATGAGAATTGCTCCAACCATTCTGAAAAGCAATTTGGAGCTATACTCCAAAAGTCACTAAATTATGCATATCTTTTGAACCAGTGATAACACTACTAGGCATATTCATCAAAGAGGTCAAAGACCTAAAACGGAAAGGACTTACATGGACAAAAATATTTAAAATAGTTCTCTTTATTGTAGAAAAAACTGGAAACAAACTGAGTGACCATCAGTTGGACAGTGGCTTAACACTGTTGTATATGATTGTAATGGAATATTATTAAACTATGAAAATAAGGAACATGAAAAATTCAGAGAAATTTAGGTTGACTTCTAACTACTTATGCAGAGTGCAATGAATGTAACCAGAAAAACAATTTGCATAACATCTACAATAATGTAAAGGAAAACAACTTTGAAAGACTTCAGAATGTTGATCAATGCGGTCACCAATCATGACTTCAGAAGACTGACAGTGAAACCTATCTCTTTCTTCTTGGCAACGAGACAATGGATCAGAGGTAGAGAATGAGGCACCAATTTTAAGAAATGGCCAATGTGCTTATTTGTTTACTTGACTTGTTGTTTAGTCTTTTCAATCTTGCCTGACTTTTTGTGACCCCTTTTGGGGTTTTCTTGGCAAAGATAGTATAGTGGTTTGCCATTTCCTTCTTCAGCTTATTTTATAGATGAGGAAACTGAGGCAAACAGGATTAAGTGACTTGCCCAGGGTCACACAGCTAGTGAGTGTCTGAGGCCAGATTTGAACTCAGGAAGATGAGTCTCCTGACTTCGGGAGCACTCTATCCACTGCACCCCCTAACTGACTCCTTCATTTGACTACACTTTTTTTTTAAATTTTTTACAAAAGAAGGCTTTTATTTGGGGGAGGGGTGAATTAGGAGAGAATGACGGAAGGACAGAGGTAAAGAAGAAAAAAGGAAGGTAGGAAGGAAGGAAAGTAGGGAGGGAAGAAGGGAAGGAAAAGAGGGAGAAAGGGAAAAAAGGGAGGGAAGAGAATTAATAAAAGGTTACAAATAAAAATAAAATTAAAAAGTTCAGAAAAGGAAATAGTAATTTTGTTGCTACCTTCCTAAATTATAGTCCTTTTAAAAAAAAAAAGCTATACATAAGAGAAGTTTACAGTTTCATATACCAGCCCTTTTTTGTTCTTCTCTATAAATTTAAATGTTTGTGTCAATCACTCTTACATTTATATTTTTTTATTTATTTACACATTTATTTATATATATTTATATATATTATTTATATTTATATATATATACATATTTTTATATATTTATATATATTTACATATTTATTTATATATATTTTTTAAAAGCAGTTCTAGGAGAACTATATACCCATGACTAGAATAATGTAAACAGAAGGAACACTAAAATACAATAACCAGATTGGTTCCCAAGTCAAAACAAAGTTTATCAAGCATTTACTTTGTTCCAGGCCCAGTTCGAAACACAACGAATGCAAATATAGGCAAGAAGAAAGCTAGTCCCTGCCCTCACGGAGTTTAGATTCTAATAGGGGAAGAAGCCACGGAAAAGGGAGACGAGAAGGGGATGATTGGTAATGAAAAAATCCAGAGTCAGCAGCCGAGGTGGAAGAGAAGTGGAGTAAGCATGAGACTGGGCTGGGCACTTCCTCAAAATGGAGGTTCAAGGAAGAATTCAGCAGAGGCCGGAGAAGCCACAAGTGGGAGGAATCTTCCAGGACAATTCCAGATTCCAGGGCTCTGAGGAGGCTGCTGAGAACGGAAGAGGGCTCCCAAGAGTCAAGAAGAGCCCGGAGAAGAAACTAGGAAACGTGCTTCCCTCTTCTGCACGGGGCATGGTGCACAGGCTGTTATTCATGTTCATTCCACCAGCAAATTTTCTCCATTTTTCTTTGTTACAGGTAGGGCTCGATGAGGGTGGGAGGGTGGGTGTCAGAATTTAAAAAACACTAAATAAACCCAATAAAACATCAATAAACCTTTTTAAAAATGTGTTCTCTATAACTTTAAATCCTCAAGCAGCCTCGCACAGATTTATGTCAGTATGTACATTTAAAATTATCGATCAATTCTTTTTTAAAAGTATTGAATTCAGTGAAGTAATACAAGCTCTCATAAGCTCTCCTCCAACAAAGTATCTCTTGAGCACATTTAAGATCATCTAAGATTCTTGGATAGATTCAACCATAGAGATAACTTGGCCCACCGATCTTCCGACGTCTCTTTAATGTTAAAAAAACATTCTTCCCCTCCCAGAGAGCTGCCCCATGTAGCACATAGTATTTTTATAAAAGTTTTTAAAAAGTAAAAAGAAAAAAATCAGCATAATCATTCAATATACCAAAAAAAGTCTGAAAATATGTACAATATGCAATACTTGTGGACCCCCTACCTCTACAAAGAGTAGAGAGTGAGCGTCTTCTAGCGTCCCTTCTTTCAAGCCTTATTTGTTCTTTGTAATTCCACAACATTTGCTTTTGGTCTCTGTGTGTGTGTGTGTGTGTGTGTGTGTGTGGTTGTTCTTTCCATTTATATTGTTGTAGACATTGTGTACTTTGGGTTTTCTTGGTTCTACTCACTACATTCTGCACTGGCTCCATGCTTCTCTGTACTCATCATGCACAGGATTTCTTCCAGCATATCAATATTCCATTACATTCAGGCACAATTTGTTTAGCCATTTACTAGTTGATAGGCATCTATTTGGTGTCCAGTCTTTGCTCTCACAAAAAGTGCTCCTATGCCTGTGTTGGTGCACGTAAGGGCTTTCCTCTTGCCCGTGGCCTCCACAAGGCATAAGCCCAGTAATGGAGTCTCTGGATCAAAGGATATTTCTTTTGCATAATTCCCGATTGCTTGCCAAAAGGGTTGTACTAATTGACTTACAATAGCAAACAAGACCCAAAATAAAGAGAAAGGAGCTGTTTGTTCTCCAAATTTGTGGGTCACTATCATAGAAAATGTCCTATCTAGAGTCCAAATAAAAGAGAAGTTCTTTATACATGGCAAGGTGTCACAGATGCTCCTGTTTCTGAATGACTTTGTTGATTGTTGAATGCTGATTACATTAAACTCCAGAATACTATAGAACCACCAAAATTCAGTCTAGGAGATGAACTCATAGAAGGTAACAGGCAGATAACAGACACGTCGAGGTGCTTTGGTCTTAAATGGAACACGTCTATTCTACCAAGTGTGAAGAAGCTCTCCCAGCAAAATTGATAGGAATAGAGGGCATTGGACCATTGGTTGGCCAAGGATCGGTTACAGTCCTGGTGGCATTGGAAAAGTGAGACACAGGGGCATCAAGGTGGCACAATGGATAAAGCACCAGCCCCGGAGTCAAAAAGACCTGAGTTCAAATCTAGCCTCAAGCACTATCTGTGCAACCCTGGGGAAGTTTTTTAACTATTTATTGTCTGCCTCAATTTCCTCCTATGTGCAGTAGAGATAACAATAGTGCCAACCTCACAAAGCTGTTGTAGGGATCAAATGAGAGATTTGTAAAGCACCTGGCACATAGTAGGCATTTAACAAACATTTGTTCCCCTCCCTTCTCCCCCTTTAAGGTTACTGTATCAACTGGCTGACTATTAAAAGTAAGTATAATGGTTCAGGGTTGTGAGCACCCACCGTACACTTGCACCTAGAAAAATGGTATTCCCACTGCCCACTCAAACCTGTGAGTTGGGCATATGCTACACCCAAAACACCTTTACAATGAGGGCAGTAGAAACCAACTGGATGAAATAATTTATTTTCTATTGTCAGATGGTGGTGTGCAACTACATGAATGATCCATTAAGTTGGTCGGTTAGTGTATGTTTATATATAGGTATATATGGAGAGATATATAGATATCTTGAGATACAGATATCGATATATAGATACACTCATATGCATACATACACACACTATATATGTGTGTGTATGTATGTGAGGGTATGTGTGTATGTATATATATGTACATAGAGAAAGAGAAAGACTTTACTCTGCCTCAGTTTCTTCTCTACAAAAAGGAGATAATAATGGCATCTATCATACAAGGTTGTTGTAAGGATCAAATGAGATAATGTAGGTAAAATTGCAAACCTCAAAGTGAACTATATCAATACTGACTGTCATTATTATCATACTGGGGACACCATTGATAATAATGAATAAAAAGAATTTGTAATCTAGTTGCAAAACTAGAGCCTGGCAGTGGTGTGCTAAAGCCAGTTTTGACAAAGAGCCAGTTGTTAAATTCTCAATGTGAGCATTTATACCACAGAAATCACAAATGCTATAAATCAGGACTTGATTTCTTTTTTTTTATTTCTATGCTTAAGAAAGTGATGGAGAGGGGGCAGCTAGGTGGTGCAGTGGATAGAGCACTGGCCCTGAAGTCAGGATGACTTGAGTTCAAATCCAGCCTCAGACCAAACACTTGACACTTACTAGCTGTGTGACCCTGGGCAAGTTACTTAACCCCAATTGCCAAAAAGGAGAAAGTGATGGAGAAAATGTTAGTAATGCAGATTAAACTTAAAAGAAGGTCAGGTTTGGTTTGTTATTGTTTCCCAGGGAGCCAGTCGTAAACGTTTACCAGCATATCCCCGTCCTGAAACAACTGAAGGATATTAATGAGCACTCTCCAAGAAGGCTCTCACACCCAACAGCCTGACCCATGTCAGCCCCTAAATTACACAGTTCCTCCATCCATTCCACTTCCTGCTGCTCATACCCAAGCGCCTTAGAATTATTATTGAACAAACATACCATAAGAGAGTTTAATTCTCCTTGTCAGTTCCCATCTTCTGTAGCCCTCATGATTCTCAGTAAGATGAAATACATGATTAGCAAGACACAAAATGTCAGCGACCCACGGAATTCAGAAAAGAGGAAGTCAGTTGCTACTCTGAGATTAGAAGAGAGACATAAAAGCCCCAGGCAGCATTTCCAAAGGGCAAAGAAGAACCATGAAGTTTATGCTACCCCTGACGCTGATTGCCTCCACTCTAGCCATCGCAACCATACGCCACTATGACAGGTAAGTCTTCTGGGTGCTGGGCTCATCCCCTGCTCAGTATGACAAGCAGTGACCCAGTGGGGGCTCATCGCTTACTTTTATGTTCTTAAAGGGAGAAGGTGTTGAGGGTGAGGCCCCAGGATGAAAAACAAGTGAGCATCATAAAGCACTTGGCTGACACTTATCTGGTAAGCCTTTCCATAGAGACTTTTTTTTTTTACTTTAATTTCTTTGCTCTAAATATTGTCTTTTTCCAGGAGTTAAACAGTTTGTTTAGTATAGATGGTTTCCCATAGTCAAAGGAAAGGAGTATACAGGATGATTCAGGCAAATACATCTATTTTATTAACTACATGACCATCTAGAGAGTCATTTAACATCCCTGAGCCTCAGTTTACTCATGTGTAAAATGAGGATAATAATGCCTGCAGTACTGCCCTCCCTCCCAGGGTTGTAGTGGGGATCGAGTTAGAGCCATGTTAAAGCTTCCTGTCAAGTCAGAGGCAGCATGGCTTGGTGGTCTTCTTGGTGGTCTTAGAGGGCTGGTCTTTAAGCACACAATATCTCAATTCCAGTCCAACCTCTGACACATACTGGCTGTGTGACCCTGAACAAGTCAATTAACCTCCCAGAGTATTCCAGGTTAAGTCTCCAAGAAGGCATTGATACAGAGAGCCTGCATTGATACAGAGAGTTAGTTCCCTGTGCTAATGAAATCAGGTCCTAGCCCTCTGTCAGATATTATCATGGTTATTCATTTATCTAAACGGTTATTACCTCAGTCAGGTATGAGGTAGAATTATGGAGTAGATAAAAGTCTTTTTCCATCTTCTCCCTCTTCCTTTGTCAGCATCCTTTCCTCCCTTCGGATCCTCCCTGGCCATTCCATTGTCCCACTCTTCCCAGTCATTCCTCTGGCCCATTCTTTCTCCAGCCTAGCTGCCAATCCCAGATAAAGAGCTAACAATTAAGTCAAGACTAGGCTGCTGTGAATTTAAGAGATTAACCTCTCCCCAAAAGGCATCTGCATTTTAAAAGGAGATTCTGAAACAGTCAGACTTTTAGGACCCAGAGGAATTCAGCCATTAGGAAAAAAAATCAATTCAATATTTATTAAGCCTTTCAGTCTACCGGGCGATTGTGGGTCATAAAGACAGAAACCAAAAGAGCCAGTCCAGTCCTGGCCCTAAGGAAGCTGACAATATCCTGGAAGGAATACAACATAGAATTACAGCTATAGAACTGAAAGGGACCTTAGGGGTCTTCCACGGGCAATCCTTTCACTCTATTGGTGAGGAAATTGAGGTCAAGAGGAGGGAAATGACGAGTCCAGGGTCACACAGGCAGTAAGCAGCAGAGCTGAGATTTGAACTCAGAACCTATGACTCAGTTCTCTCGCCATTGCATAATGTTGTGTTCATGGATATGAGTAAATCAGATTTCAAATGAGAAAGAAAGGGTTAGTACCCCGGGGGAGATCAGGAAAAGTTTTTGCAGGAAGAAGTAGCACCTGAGTCATGCTCTGAAGGCAGGCATAGAGAATATCAGAGGGGAGTCAGAAAAGAATGCATTCTACTCAGGGAGGACCACCTGGGCAGATTCAGGGAGGGAGAAGATAGAGTCACCTGTACAGTGAGAGAATGGCTAATCAACCAGTTTGGCTAGACTGAAGAATATGTGAAAGGGCTTAATAAAACTGGAAAGGTAGGTGGATGCTAGATTATGGAGTACTAAGAATTCTGTATTGTAAAAGAAAGTAAAGGTCCATTAAAGAATTTTTGCTCTGAGGGTGACATGGTAAAATCTATATTTTATGAGCATCAGTTCTGGAATAACAATTACAGGCACTAGGACTGCTTTTCAGAGACTTCCTGAAATCACGCCACACAACCTAGCATCACCTGCTCCCACTCCTCCCTCCATCCAAGGCTTGTCTAACAATAACAACATTTATATAGCACTTTAAGGTTTGCGAAGCACTTTTAAAAATATTGTTTGATCCGAATCAAAACAACTTTGAGATACCACATCACACTGCGTGACAAAACAGGAATATGATAAATGTTGGAGAAGATGTAGGAAATTGGAACACTAATACATTGCTGGTGGAGTTGTGAACTGATCCAACCATTTTGGAGAGCAGTTTGGAACTATGCCCAAAGGGCTATAAAAATGTGCATACCCTTTGACCCAGCAATACCACTTCTAGGTCTATATCCCAAAGAGATGACTAAAAAGAGAAAAAGACCCACATGTACAAAAATATTTATAGCAGCTGTTTCTGTGGTGGCAAAGAATTGTAAATTGAGGGGATGCCCATCAATTGGGGAATGGCTGAACAAGTTGTGGTATATGAATGTAATGGAATACTATTGTGCTATAAGAAATGATGAGCAAGCAGACTTTAGAAAAACCTGAAAAGACTTGTATGGACTGATGTTGAGTGAAATAAGCAGAACCAGGAGAATGTTGTACACAGTAACAGCCATGTTGTACAATGACTAACTTTGATAGACTTAGCCCTTCTCAGCAATGCAAGGATCCAAGACATCTCCAAAAGACTCATGATGGAAAATGCTGTCCACATCCAGAGAAAGAACTACAGAGTTTGAATGCAGATGGAAGCATACTATTTGCTCTTTTTTTCTTTCTGTTTTGTTGTGTTTCTTCTTTCTTGAGGTTCCTACTATTGGTTCTAATTCTTCTTTACAATATGACTAGTGTGAAAATGTTTAATAGGAATGTATATGTAGAGCCTATATCAGATTGCACGCCATCTTGGGGAGGGAGGTAGAAAAGGAGAGGGAGAAATTTTTAAACTAAAAGCTTATGGAAGTGATTGTGGAAAACTAAAAATAAATTAAAAAATATTATTTCTCTTTAACCTCAAACAAACCAGAGATGTAGGTTCTATTATGACCCCCATTTTACAGATGGGGAAACTGAGGCAAATAGCTATTTGTGACTTGCCCAGGATTGAGTCAAATCCAGTCAAGAAAGCATTTATCAAGTGCTTGTTATGTTCCAGGCACTGTGCTAAGCACTGGAAACACAAATATCAGCAAAAAGACAGTTCCTGCCCTCAAGGAGCTTACATTTTAATGTGGAAAAACAATACATAAAAGGAAGCTAAAAAGGAAATGTAGGGAGATGTAGATACCCAGTGGGCAAGGACATTGTATAGAAAGTCCAAGAGAGTCAGGAAGGTAGCCTGGAGGGGAATGAACACGTGGCTGCCCTGTCTTCCTTAAAATGGTCACAGTAATTGAAATGTTTTGTTTTTCATTTCATCCACATCAGTTCCTTTGACTAAACTTCATGTGGCATGGCCTCCACTCCCCTTATCTTCCGGTAGAAAAACAGTGATGATGATAATGACAACAAAAGCAACAATGTCATCGTCGTCACCACCATAAGTGACATTCATGCAATAGAATAACAGCATAGGATAGTGGATGGAGTCACAAAGATCTAGCTGCAAATCCTGCCTCTGATACATACTAGCTGTGTGACAATAGATAACTCAGTCACCCTCTCAGTGTCTCACACATACCCTGAAGATTATAAATTACACAATCACTGCTCATCTCCAACAGATGAGATTTGCTTCCACATCAGCAAAATTAGAGGTCTACCCCAAATTTAGAGAGCACTTTAAAAGTCTCAAAACTCCCTATGTACATTGTCTCACTGGAACCTCACAGAAACCCTAAGAGGTAAGTATGGCAAACCAATTTGGAATTTCCCAAAACTGGGAAGCTTCCCAAAACAGAAAAGACCAAGTCACAAGTTTCATATATTTTTGTAATTCATATCAATTGCCAAGCTAATGGCATGGCAATCCATCCATACTGATCCTGAAGATGGCTAAAATCAACACATTCCCTTGTCTTTCACTCACTGACTCAAGGCTCTCAAGTGGTCATAATGAAGTGTTTCTTCCCTGAGTGTTAAAACTCCCATCCTTAAAAATGAATTATGACAAAGCGGGTTTTTCCCTGCAGCTCGACTTCTGGCATCCTAGTTCTGCTCACGATGTCATACCTAAAATGGATGTGGACTTCCACGTTGGTGAAGATCAGTTCCAACACATCCAGGATACTCTGGAGAAAAATGACATGCAATATGAGTAAGTTTCACTTAACTTCTCAGGTTGATCAGATAGTCCAAAACTGCATGAGAGCATGCATTGACTAATTAGTCATTCTAGCAGAAATATTTTTTCTTGGGCCAAGACTTGATGATAACTGCCAAATTAACATCATATTACGTTCTCTAAGTTCATAAATAACAACTCTCATCTTCTAATAAACCAGTCAAATTAGCTGTGCTGATAATAATCTTAACAATAATAATTTACCTTTGCATGATATAAATTAAGAGTTGGTTCTTGTTGCAAGAATGACCCAAGATCTCTAATATATGGACCAATGACCATTAGTTAGCAAAAAGAAGCAAGTATATACTGGGGAAGTTGGTACAGTGGAAAGAATGCTGGATTGGGCATCAGGGAACCTTGTTCGAAGCTTTTGCTCACTGATTTATTACTTCTGTGACATTGGGGTAAACTTGACCTCTTGGGCTCAATTTTACTTTGTCATTGTCTTACCACTCCCTAAAGCAGTTCAATGCAATAGGTTGCCTATTAAAAATTCATTGAAGTCAAGGGAATTGAAGTTACTTAGGTGGGTTAGATTGTTCAAGGGAAAGGGCTTCTGTGCTGAACTACCAATGATGGAAGACATGATAAACTTCGGAGTCTTGATCAGTTTCACCAGGAAATTCATCTCAGGGCTTCCCTTTGTTTCTGAGGGCATGGCTAGGTTTTTAAGCACAATAGGTATTCAAATGTTCAAGCAGGAAACCTGGGTAGAGACTTCTATTTTCATTCTTATTGAACTATCTTTCTTTGCTGTCTCTACCCCTAATCTAAGCATTAAATATTCCATTAGACCAATGGATCTGCAATCTCATTAGTAGTGGTACTCAATGATACAAATTAATAATATTTATCTATCACTCTGAGAAGTTTACAAAGAACTTAAAGATACTATCTATTTTTCCTCACAACAACTCTAGGAGGTATGTACTACTGTTATCCTCTCCATTTTACAGATAAGGAAACTGAGGCAGACAGAAACTAAGTGATTTGCCCAGAGTCACACAACTAGTAAATAGCTAAAGCTGGATTTGTACTCAGGTTTTCCTGAGTTACAGATCCAGTGCATTATTCACTTCACCAGCTAATTGCTCAGCCTATCCATGCTTGCCCATGTTGAGTTCTGTCCATGCTTTGCTGCAAATCTAGACACAGGATGTCCATCCAATAAGCTCCAGGCCTTGTGAAAAATAACAACTCACTTAATGAGATACCTTGGAGCAAATTTTCTTAAAAATGGCCAAAATTAGGTGCTGCATTTTTTTGAGATGAGACAGTCTGATAATGTTTTGAAGGCAGAGGAAATGGATTCAAATGCCTCTTCAGTCTTAAATACGGGACAACCTCCCTGGATCTCAATTTCTTTGTCTGAAAAATGAGGGAGCCAAATTGGATGCGCTCTGCGGTTCTCTCCAGCTCTGAATTTATGATCCTGTTTTTTTTTCTTCCTTCCGAAATGTAAACATGCAAAATGATAGCGTTTGTTTTGAAGGATGATCCTGAAATCTTGTCCCTACGTGCCTTAGTGTATACATAATTATATTTGCATATTCAACTCTTCTGTAAGTAGATGTCACTTAGGATTCTGTGCCTAAATGAGAACAGAAACATCTGGGTGGACCTGGGCACCTGGCTCTCTAGAAACATATTAAAGGACGTATACGACACAATTATTTAATTGGACATCCCTCATTAGGGCAAAAGCACGATTTAGTTACAAAGCATCTGCTTATCCTATTCTATTTTTCCATTTCCTGAAAATTAAATTACAAAGAAGGAGAGCTTTCTCTTTTTAAAATGGAATGTGTTCTCCTGCCCATAATGACATTTTTACAAAGTTAAAAACAAGGACCAGAAAACACAAATTTCAGCCCCTTCCTCGTTAAAAACCTGAGACAGGAAGTGGGCATTTACCCCTATGAAAAAGGGCCAGAAAACTGAGTTTAGAGGCAGGAGCTTAATACTTCCCTTTAATTCCTTTTCTTGCTTTCCCTGGGCTTCCGAATATCCACTTAACCTTTCTTCCCTTGGAGCATTAGTTAAAATAAGTAAATAGATTAGGGATTCAATAATGAAAGGTAATGAGAAAATAGCTATCCTTAATAGTAATAAAACAAAAAGAGGACAATTCAGTGAAACCTTATTAAGAGTTTTAAGGAGATCCATTTCCTTATATGGGGCCTTATACTCAGTAGGTGCTTAATAAATGTCCGTTGAATTGAAGGATGATCCTATGTGGGAAAGGTAACAGATAATATTAAGGTATCTCAATTGATCCTCACAGCAACCTTGTACAGTAGGTATTTATTATCTTTATTTTGCAGGTGGGGAAACTGAGGGTAAGTGACTTGCTTGGGGTCACAAGTTAGTAAATATCTGCAGGAGAATAGAACTCAGACTTTTCTGATTCTATCCACAATGCCACCCAACTTCCTATGCACACTTACCTATCACAGTAAGAACCAAAATAGCACAAAATATTAATACCTAAAGACTTTAGAACAGTCAGAGAGACAAATTCAATTTTTTTCCAACCATATGCATGATTCATGGTCAATAAGGTGGCACCATGGATAGAATTCAGGAAGATCTGAGTTCAAATCTGGCCTCAAATACTTACTAACTGTGTTACCCTGAGCAGGTCCCTTAACTTCTGTCTGCCTTAGTTTCCTCAACTGTAAAATAGGGATAATAATAGCACCTACCTCCCAGGGTTGTTGTGAGGATAAAATGAGATAATATTTACAGTCTTAGCGAGTGCCTGGCACATAGTAAGTGCTATATAAATGTTAGCCATGATGATAATTCCTAAGCACTGGATCTGGAATCAGACAGTGAAGCTCATTACTTCTGAGAATTTGGTCAAGTCTCAATTGGGGCGGGGGGGACGCTCCAGTTTCTTATCTGCAAAATGAAGGGGTTGAAATACATCCACAGAATTTGAGGTCCCTCCCAGCTACACACAGACTTATAGAGCCACAATCCTGCTCAGAATCTCTGCAGAGCTCCAGAAGGAGAGGTAGCAGGGAGAATGCCATTGTCATCAGCAGGCCATCATCCTGAGATGGTATTCTAGTTATCATCTGGTCCGCAGCCTGGTGCAGTGAACTTTGAGTCGGGGGACCTGAGTTTGAATCCCAGCTCTGCAATTTACTCCTTGTGTGACCTTGGGCAAATCACTTAATCCCTAGGCCTCAGTTTCCTAGTCTGTAATGTGAAAGAGCTTAACTACATAGCCTGGGTATCTTTCCAGATTAATGATCTTGTGACATCTCACTCAGCTAAGAATGCAGATCCTTTTCTAAAGAACGAGTCACATGTGCACTTTTCCACCCTACCTAAATGGGCAGAATGAAGTATGGAAGAGAAGTGACAATCTGGAAAATTCGCCTCCCCCCCCCAAAAAAATAGCCTATTGTTTTTAATTTAAATTAACTAGATTAGATACCTTGAATTCAATGAAAAATTACTTTTATAATTTCATTTCAATTTCTAGAGACTTTATCTACTCTGTCACAAATACATGGCACCTACCTCAAAGTACTGCTGAGAGAATCAACTGAGACAGTATTTATAAAGTGCTTAGCACAATGCTTGGCATATAGTCCGAGCTTAATAAGTGCTTATTCCCTTCCCATATGCAAAAAAGATGGATACACATCTCAAGAGATGGTTTTTCATCAATGTGGGAGTTCTCCTTCACATGTGCAGATCACAACCCTTCTGTGGGTTAGAGGATAAGTCTCAGGGAGTTACCTGATGCTCAGAGAGGTCCCACTGGTAAGTGTCAGACATGCATTTTAATCCAGGTCTTCTTGGAACCATATATATATAATGCTCTCTAACCACTCCATCAGGGTGCCTCTCAGAGAAAAAGACACAGAGGGAGAGAGAGAGACAGAGAGAGAGAGAGAGAGGGAGAGAGAAAGAAATAGAGAAAGAGAGAGGGAGAGAGAGAGAGAGGGAGAGAGAGGGGGGAGGGAGAGACAGAGAGAGAAAGGGAGAGAGAGAGAGAGAAAGAAAGAGAGAGAAACAGAGAGAGACAGACACAGAAACAGAGACAGAGACAGAGAGGGAGAGAGAAAGAGAGGGAGAGAGAGAGAGAGAGAGAGAGAGAGAGAGCATACCAAAGGGGTCCAAAGACTCATTTTTTAACATATTTTTAAATTTTTATTATTTATTTTTAACACTTTTCTTTTTGAATTTTGAGTTCAAAATTATCTCCCTCCCCTACCCAACAAGAAGGCAAGCAATAGGAGATAAATCATGCACATGAAATCATGCAAGACTTATTTTCCATATTAGCCACATTCCAAAAAAAAGAAAGGAAAATAAAATGAGAAAACTGTATTTCATTTTCACTTAGAGTGCATCAGTTCTCTCTCAGGAGGTGAATAGTATTTTTTTCATCATGAATCCTTTGGAATTGACTTGGATCATTGAATTGACTTCATCAGAATAGCCAATTCTTTCACAGTTGATCATTGTACAATATTGCTGTTACTATATACAATCTCCTCCTGGTTCTGCTCACTTCACTTTACAGTAATTCATGTAGATCTGCAGATTTTTCTGAAGCCATCCCCTTCATCATTTCTTACAGCACAAATAGCATTCCATCACAATCATATGTCACAACTTGTTCATTGGTCCCCAATTAATGGGCATCCCTTTAATTTTCAATTCTTTGCCACCACAAAAAGAACTGCTATGTATTTTTAACATATAGGTCCTTTCCCTTTTTCTTTGATTTTCTAGTAGTTTCTTTGATTTTTCTAGAACTACTAGTGGTAACGCTGGGTCAAAGAGTATTCACAGTTGATAGCCTTTTGGGCCTAATTCCGAATTGTTCCCCAGAATGTTGGACCAATGCACTACTCCATGAGTAGTTCATTGATGTACCTTTTGGTACATTGGTGTAGCATTTCCCATTTCCCATTTCTGGGATGGTACATCAGAGTTGTTTTCATTTGCCTTTCTCTAGTCTATAGTGATTTAGAGGCTATTTTTATATGATTATAGATAGCTTTGCTTTCTTCTTCTGAAAACTACTTGCTTATATCCTTTGACAATTTATCAGTTGGGGAATGACTCTAATTTTTATAAGTGTATCTTTCTAAATTTTCCTCTACCTCTCATATTTGATTTTTAAACTCCTTTTTGAGTTCTTCCAGGAATATTTTTTGGGCCTGAGACCAATTCACATTTTTCTTTAAGGCTTTAGTTGTAGCTGTTTTGACATTGTTATTTTCTTCTGAGTTTGTGTTTTGACCTTCCCTGTCACCATGGTAACTTTCTATGGTCAGGTTATTTTGTTTTTATGTTTGTTAATTTTTTCACCATTTTTTTTTTACTTTGAACTTCATGTTAAAGTTGGGCTCTTCTCCCAGGGCAGAGGGGGCACTGTCCTAAGCTTCAGGCTTTTTCACGATGCTACTTTCAGAGTTAATTCTGGGGGTCAGTACATGTTCAGTTCTTCCAGATGCAGTCACTGCTCTCCTGGCCTGTGCTGTGGTCTGTGAATGACCACAAGCACTCTTCTCCACCCCAGAACTGTCACTAGGGTCACCACTCCTGCTAATGCTTCTCCTAGCCCTGAGACTGTGACCCAGAACCACATATGGGCAATGCAACAGAGTCCTGCACCTACTGCCAGTAAAGGACCTCCTGTAATCTCCTTCTGAACATTTTTTGACCCTCTTACTGTCTGTGGGCTGAAAGCTCCAGAGGCTACCACTGCTGATTCAGTCATCCCCAAGGCCTGCTGCTGGCCGACCAGGGAGTGGACTGCTCTGGAGTGCACTTCATTCTCACCCCAGTGAGACACATCTTTCTTGCTGATCTTCTAAGTTTTCTTGTACTTCAAAATTGTTTCACCCCATCCTTTTGTTGGTTCTGCCACTCTAAAATTTGTTTTGAGGCATTATTTTAAATTGTTTGGAGGGGAATTTTAAAGAGTTCAGGCGAGTCCCTACCTTACTCTGCCATCTCAGCTCTGTCCCCCCATTACTATCCACTCTCATTTCTTTTCCCAATTTTTCCTCTACCACTCTTATGTCTTTCTTTAACTCTTCCAGGAATTTTTTTTAGGAAATTGGAGTTAAGTGACTTGCCCAGGGTCACACAGCTAGTAAGTGTCAAGTGTTTGGTGTGAGGCCGGATTTAAACTCAGGTCCTCCTGACTCCAGGGCCAGTGTTCTATCCACTGAGCCACCTAGCTGCCCCTTTCTTCCAGAAATTCTTTTTGGGCTTGGGTCCAATTAGCATTTTTCTTTGAGGTTTTGTTTGTAGCTGTTTTTACACTGTAGTCTTCTTCTGAGTTTAATCTTGGTTTTCTCTGCCACCATAATGACTTTTTATGGTCAAGTTCTTTTGTTTGTTTGTTTGTTTGTTTGTTTGTTGTTTGTTCATTTTCCCACCCTATTGCTTACTTCTGAACTTTATGTTAAAGTTGGGCTCTGAGGGGCATCGAGGAGGCACAGTGGATAGAGCACCAGCCTTGGATTCAGGAGGACCTGAGTTCAAATCCAGCCTCAGACACATAACACTTACTAGCTGTGTGACCCTGGGCAAGTCACTTAACCCCATTGCCTAGCCAAAAAAATAAATAAATAAAGTTGGGCTTTGCTCACCTGGGGGGTGAAGAGGCACTATTCCAAGTTCCAGGTTTTTCATGCTACTATTTTCAGAGCTAGTTCTGGGGACTGTGAATTTTCAGTGCTTCTGAGGTGGTAAGATGCAGAGAGAGGTGTGGTCACTACTTTCCTGGTCTGTGTTCTGGTCTTTAACCAGAAAGGCCTCTGGTACTGTCCAGTCAGAGGTCCTCTTTGCCTTAGAACAGTTACCAGAGCCCCTGCTTCTTTGTGACAGACCCTCAGTGCTCTTTTCTGCCGTGGAACTGCAACCTAAAACTTCACATGGGCAATAGAGTTACCAATCAATGTCAGCTGCAACCAGTGCCAGCAAATGGTCCCCTGGAATCTCTTTCTGACCAGTTGTCTGATCCCCTTACAATCTTTTGGATGAGACCTACTGAAGCTGCTGCTGCCCCTGTCCAGTTCTTGCTGGACTCTAGACAGGCTTCAACCCTTTGTCATGAACTTCTCCTGCTGACCTCCTAAGTTTTCTTAGGCTGAAAAAATGTTTCACTCTGACCTTTTGTTGGCTCTGTCACTCCCAAATTTGATTTGAGTGTTATTTTAAAGTTCTTTGGAAGGAAATGTTGAGAGAGTTAAGCTGGATTGCCTTTACTCTGCCATCTTGGCTCCATTCCCTGGTCCAGAGACTCTTAATCTTTTTGCATTGTAGCCCCCTAGGCAGCCTATGGAAACTTTCTCACAATAATGCCTTTTTGCCCACATTTCAACGAGAGGCTAGTGAAATAAAGATGTCATATTCCCATCCAAATTTACAGATCACTTAAAAAAACAAAAATTTACATATCAACAAAAAACCAAAGACCCCTTAAGGAGCCCAGATTAAGAACCCCTGCATAAGATGTAAGCACTTTGGGAGGAAGGACTGTTTTTCCTGGCACAATGCCTTACACACCATGACTTAGACAAGTACACAGAACCAGGATACTGAATATCCATCCAGTTTGGGGAACAAATAATAATTCAGTTTGACTAGGAGATAAAAGCTTGGAAAAATACTTTAGAGCTGGATTATGGTGGGCCCCAAAGATCAGGTGGAGGATTTTGTGTTCAGTGCTAGAAGTAACAGGGAAAGTTTGTAAGCAGGGCAATTACACAAGTTAATAGGATCATAGACTTTAGAGTTGATAGGGATCTTGGAGGTCATCCAATCCAACTTCCTCATTGCACAGATGAGAAAACTGAGACCCAGAGAATCTGCTACTCAGCCGAGGTCCTGCAGAAACGGCAGAGCCAGAATTTAAACCCAGGTCTTCCAGTGTGAAATCCAACACCTTTTCCACTGTAACACAATGCCTCTGCAGTAGAATCCAAATACAAAAACACATTGGCTCCTCCAAGAGATCAGGCAACAGGTTGCTCAAGGAAAGGTTTTCAGTTGGGATTTGTGAAAGAGGATGTTGATGGAAATAAAAATGGGAAATCTTTAAATTAAAGATAGGAAATTAAAGATTAGCATTAAAGATAGGAAAAGAATTGAGATTTGGTGGGACCACAAAATCCAGAGTGATTGGGGATAATGAGACTAAAGGGGTTTAAATCTGACCATGAATTAACTGTCCTTTGGTGGGGCACTCATAGAAACTATACTACAGGATATGAGCAGGTGTGGATAAAAGTCAAGATTAGGCCTGAATATCTTGAGCAAGTCTTGGAAAGCTAGCAATGAGCTTATTATCCCTCACTGTGATAATAGCTGGATTCCCCAATGTAGGGTCCCAGGCTATATTTGTTAACTCGGAAGCAGTATCTCCGGTTGATTCAGATGACTCTGACCTGGCTTCAGACTTCTCCACTGAGGACTTGGAAGTACTTTTGCAATAATAGCTGTAGGCTCTGACCCATGAGGGGGGTCATAATTATCTATGTAGGCGGGGAGAGTAGAAGAATTAATAGGGGTTCAAGAACAGAATGGGAAGATATTATTGAGGGAGCAAAAGGGAACAGAATCTGATGTAAGAAGGAAAAGAAGAGAGAATTGCTGCACATAAAAGATAACTATTTTCCTTTCTCTAGTAAGTATGTATTTTGTCATCCCTCTGTCAAATAGAGTCTTGATTTATGATCTACAAGAAGAGATTGAAAAACAGTTTGATGTGAAAGATGATTTTCCTGGCAGACACAGCTACTCAAAATACAATGATTGGAGCAAGGTATGGGAGAGAATTTCTGTATGTAAAGAGGAGCACCAAACTCTTCAGTCCACCATTACATACACACATTGTTTTGTTATATAGTTTTGAATTTCCTTAAAGTGCTTCAATAATCTCAAACAGGTTCTGCTCTCTAGATTGCTGCTTGGACTCAGCTAATGACAGAAAAGAGACCAGAGCTGATCTCTCACATTGAAATTGGAAAAACTGGAGAAAATAATCCCATGTATGTTCTCAAGGTAAAAAAAAAAAACATTTCCTAAGGTGGAGATGGGTGGTGGTGGTGATGGTGGTGATGATGGAGGTGGTGGTGGTGGTGGTATTGGTGAGGAGGTGGTGATGGCAGTGGCGGTGATGGTGATGGAGGTGGTGTTAGTAGTACTGATGGAGATGATAGTATTGGTGGTGGTGATGGTGTTGGTGGTGATGGTGGTGGTGATGGTGGTGGAGATGGTGGTGATGTTGGTGATGGTGGTGGTGATGATGGAGGTGATGGTGGTGGTGGTAGTGATGGAGGTGATGGAAGAAGCAACAATTAAGAGAGACACTGTGGTGTTAAAGTTTCTCTAAGTGTATTCTGTGGACCCCTGTGGGTGCCCAAGACCCTTTCAGGAAGAGTATGAGGTCAAGTCTATTTTCATAATAATACTAAGACATATGCCTATTGAAACTCTTCCCTTTTCCAATGACATATCTGTGTAAGGGTGAATTTTCATCCAAAACACCACATCACAAAAGACTGAATGCAGAAGCAGTTAGAAGAATCCAGCTGTCTTCTATTAAGCTAGATAAATCAAGCAAATTAAAGAGATCTGCAAAAATATGTAAACCAATGCTATTCTTCTCACTATTTTTTTTTATTTTGGACAATATTTATTTTTCATTAAAAATATGTCACATGTTAACTTGTAATAGATTTATTATTAGTGTTTTAAGATAAATTAGTAAACACAAACTTTAATATTACCAGTTTTAATTTCTAATAGAGTATATATCAGTAGAGATAACCCACATAAATAAAAGGTCTTTGGAGACCTACCTCAATAATTCTGAGGAGTGTACAAAGGTCCTGACACCACAAAATTTGAGAACCACTGGTGGAGTGAATAGAGTACTAGCCTTTGAATCAGGAATATATGGGTTTGAGTCTTACTCTGATGCATACAAGGTACATGACTGGCCAACCCACCTAACTTCTCTATTAACTCTCTAAGACTATAAATTACAGAGGAATAGTTGATGTGCATCAGTGATAGCTTTCTGACCTTAAGTTTTCCACATGGAGGAAATCATGGTTCTAGATAAATAAATCTGTCGGCTTTGTTGCAAAGTACGTGCTAATTTGAAGATAATAAAATAAAATGTTTTTTTTTTAAAACAGTTCATACTAATTTCTTCACAATTGCATTTTTAACCCGCTAATATATCTTGACATATGAAATGGTGATTATTACTTAATCCTGCATTCTAGATATGGAAACTGAGGCAGAGTCTGATTAAACCATATGTTGAAGGTCTGATACTATACAAACCAAAACAAGATCTTGAACTATTTATTCTTATAGCTTTTCTAGACAAGATTATGTGAACAGAGGAAGGAAGAATACTGGGACACTAACAAATAGACAGGAAAGAGAAAAGATGGTAAGTAGGTAGGAGGACAATAAGAAGCAAATATTAGAGTCAGTGGTCATCTCTCTGACCAAAATTGTAAAATAAGAAATACTATAGAAAGTATTCAGAGATCTCATTAGCAATTCACACAGGTGAAAAAAAGATTTTGAAAGCTAAAGTGAATAGCAAATGAAGAAATGCAAATTAATAATAATAGCAGGCACGTATATAGCGTTCAATGGTTTGAAAACACTTTACAAATATGAATTCTGATGCTCACAATGCCTCTACTATTATTATTCTCTTTTGTATTATACTATTTTTTCCCATTTTGCAGATGAGGGAATTAAGTGATTGATTTGCTTAAGGTCACGCAGCTAGTAAGTGTGTGAGGAAAGATTCAAACTCAGGTTTTCTTGATTTCTAATCCAGTGTTCTATTCACTGCACCAGCTAGCTGCCTTACACAAAGGATAAATGATGAATTCTGCGTATGCACTAATGGTCATTCATCTGTATTGCATGATTCTCCAGAAAGGCATAGCAGTACATCCCCACAATTATCCCTTAAGCCTATTAAATCTTTGACCCTACTATTAACTGGGTCTCAATGAGGGCAATGGTTTGTTTAAAGCTTATATTGCTCATCAATTTTTACCTTTCCTTGCAAAGACTTGTTTCTCTCATTACCTGTCTAAGAAAAAAAAAAGTACAGTGAGGAAGACTGTACCTAGCCCAAAGAGAGGTCTGCAGTGGGCAGGTGAGAGATCCCTTAATTAAAAAGTGGACAATATGTTTAAATACGTGACTTTATGCAAAATAAGGCCTCAAGTTTATCTGAAAACAGGTTGGGAAAAAGAGTGGACAGAGAAGGGTCATTTTCATGGACTGCGGCATTCACGCAAGAGAGTGGATTTCTCCTGCCTTCTGCCAGTGGTTTGTCTATCAGGTAGGTGAAATTGCATGTCTTCAAAGCTCCCTCATGACCTTCATTCTGCTAGCATTTTTTTACAATCCATCTGCCCCTTTTAAATAAGTGCAATTCCACCTGAGCAGATCAGTTTCAGTTTGATACTGCTAGGAGATGCATAATCAGTAGCTCACTCAACTTTTTCCTTTTGAGAAAGCTCACACAGTCCTTTAAACTTCTCTCTCTAACACTAAAAGTTTGCAAAACTGTAAGGAACTTTGTGCCATAATAACATAGGGCCCTATAGAAAGCACTGCCAATTTGCAAACTATTGTGCATAAAAATGTCACTTTCCTCCTAAAGGGCTGAGAGCACAAAGCACTGATCTCTGTAGACATTTCACACACCTCGACCAGGAAATTTCCATACTCACTTGAGTTTTCATTCTAATTCTAAAGAATCTTTTCACAGTAAATCCTCATCATTAATAGAACCCCCTATTATTCCACCCACTGCTGTTTCCATTGTATCACTGACTATTATCATCTCTTCATCATCTATTTCTACCAGCTATTACTCTGACAACACATTGATCCCATATACATGCCCATACGCCATGGCGCTTAGGGGCAAAGGCTGGTTGCAGGACAGATATTTGTCCCTGGGGTAACATGAGCTCAAGAGGAGTTATCTCCAGTGTGAGATGGACTGCTTTAGCCCCATAACAGAGCATAAATCATTGGCCACGTTTGCATGTGTTCCGGGGGGGGGGAGGTGGAATCAGAGGAGGGAGAACAAACTTCCCATTCTACATAGAAGCAGAGGACTGGAGTTGACTCCAGAGAGCTGGAAAGATTTCAGTTGGACGTAAGAATTTCTTGACCCCTCTCCAAATCCTTGAACCTTTCCACAGATGGTCCCCATTTTTTGTCCCTTGGATGATTCTATGTTGTTCTGCTAGGGACCCTATCCAATTTCTCCCCATCGTTACATTCACAAATATGGATCAGTATTTGTTGTTGTTATTTTTTTTAATTTATAAAATAGGAATCCATTTTAGCTTTAGTAATACTGATGTTAATCTCCTACCCAACCTGGGCCATCAAGTATTTCATAGCGTCTCATATTGCTGATGATGAGATTTTACAAGACAAGACTATGTAACAACCCTTTTAAAAAATATTCTGAATGTTATGGTATCTTTGTAGCATGTTTGTTTGTGTCCAATGTGGAATTTTATATGAAAATAATCCAAATTTTAGCTTGAATGAAGCTCATTCTTTCAATTCTAGGGAATACAACAACAAATAAAAAACTATACTTGCCCTCAAAGACCTTACATTCTACCTTTGAAATTGCTAAAAATTCGGTTAGAATCAGGATTTACTACGTTTCTTTTTATTTTTCCTCCCTCCTCTACAGGCAGCCAAAACCTATGGGAAAAACAAAATTATGACAAAGCTCCTAGACAGAATGAATTTTTATGTCCTTCCTGTGTTCAATGTTGATGGCTACATCTGGAGTTGGACAAAGGTATGATTGCTATCTATCTGGATGTTTCCAATCCAATGTGAATCTGCTAAGTATAAGCAAGAATATATTAATTAAAGTAAATTGTTAAGTTCATTTAGGTTTTATGTTAACATAACTCTCTCTGGAATCAGAATGGCACACAAGGAACATAATTTGCAGGCTGAGTGGCAAACATGTTCTTGGTTAGATACATGCTGCCTGATTCTAGTAATGTGGCACAACAGGAAAATTATTCTAAAAGAAACATGGGAGTAAGTGATCAAAGAGTGAGCTTAAAAAAAATTAAACCCTCAGTTTAAAAACATCAAACTTCAGAGAGACACAGAAAAAAATATCACAGCCAATGTATCCCATGTATTACATCCCCTTGAGAGAAAATGCAAGGTAGGAACCCTGGAGGTATTGTTCATCGATGTACCCAAGGAAGAGAATTGAAAATATTAGTGTTTATTTTTAAATGGGGCTGTGTTTCACTGTGTAATGGGACACCTTTCTATCATTGTTTTTGGGGAACAAGACTAACAACAATTATGCTTATTTTTCTGAATGAAATTATTACATTTCAGGGGCCCTAATTTGAGCTGGGATCTGTGGATCAGAATTTGTAATAATGAGTGCTGTTATAATGATTAATATAATATAATGTAATGTAATGATAAAATATAACGGTAGCCTACCTAGAGAAAACTACACAGACTACTATCTATAGAAAATGTACAAAGAGGAATACGTCATTTTGTTATGTTGAGTTAAAAAATGTTTGGAATTTTTAATAGTATTTTATTTTTCCCAGTTGGATGTCAAGACAATTTTTAGCATTCATTTTTACAAGATTTTGAGTTCCAGATTCTTCTCCCTCTCTCTCTCCATTCCCCCTTCCTAAAATTGTAGGCAATTTGATATAGGTTATATATGTGCAATTATGTAAAACGTATTTCCATATTAGTTGCAGTTGTGAAAGAAGAAACAGATCAAAAGGAAAAAAACACAAAAAAATTAGAGTGAAAATAGTATGCTTTGATCTGCATCAATTATTTATTGGAATGTGGATAGTATGTTCCATCATGGGTCCTTTATACTTGTCTTGGATCATTGTATTGCTGAGAAGAGCTAAGTCATTCATAGCTGATCATCATACAATGTTGCTGATACTGTGTATGATGTCTTCGTGGTTTTGCTCATTTCACTTTGCATCATCTCGTACAAGTCTTTCCAGGTTTTTCTGAAATCTGCCTGTTCATCATTTCTTACTGTACAATAATATTCCATTACATTCATATACCATAACTTGTTCAGCCATTCCCAATTGATGGGCATCCCCTCAATTTCCAATATTTTGCCGCCACAAAAAGGGCTGCTATAAATATTGCTGTACATGTAGGTCTTTTTCCCTTTTTATGACCTTTCTGGGATACAGACCTAGTGATGGTATTGCTGGATCAAAGGATATTATGCACAATTTTGTTGCCCTTTGAGCATAGTTTCAAATTACTCTCCAGAAAGGTTGGATCAGTTTATGCCACCAACAGTGCACTGCTGTCTCAATTTTCCCACATTCTCTCCAACATCTATCATTTTCCTTTTTTCTCATATTAGCCAATCTGATAGGTGTAAGGTGGTACCTCAGAGTTGATTTAATTTGCATTTCTCTAATCAAAAGTATTTAGAGCACTTATTCACGTGACTAAAGAGAGCTTTTATTTCTTCATCTAGAAACTGCCTGTTCATATCCTTTGACCATTTATCATTTGGGGAATGGCTTGTATTATAAATTTGACACAGTTCCCTATACATTTGAGAAATGAGGCCTTTATCAGAGATACTTGCTGTAAAGATTGTTTCCCATCCTTCTGCTTTTCTCCTAACCTTGGCTGATTGGTTTTGTTTGTGCAAAAGCTTTTTAATTTAATATAATCAAAATTATCTATTTTACATGTCATAATGTTCTCTATCTCATCTTGGTCATGAATTCTTCCCTTCTCCATAGATCTAACAGGTGGACTATTCCTTGATCTCTTAATGTGCTTATGGTGTCACTCTTTTGTCTAAATCACGTACCCATTTTGACCATATCTGGGTATATGATGAGAGATGTTGGTCTACACCTAGTTTGTGCCTTATTGTTTTCCAGTTTTCCCAGCAGTTTTTGTCAAACAGTGAGTTCTTATCCAAGAGGCTCGTGTCTTTGGGTTTATCAAACACTAGGTTTCTATGGTCATTATTGTTTGTGATTTTAAAAGTTAATTGGATAAGGTTTACAGAATCCATTTTTTAAAATATTCTTCAGATTTTAGTGAGAAAGACTCAGGGGCAGAATGGGATAGTGGATAGAGCACCAAATCTTGACCCTGAATAAGGAACACCTGGGTTCAAATCTCACCTGAGACATTTACTAACTGGGAAACCCTAGGCAAGTGAAAAAAAAACCTTTTTAAGACTCAGTTGCTTTACCTGTACAATGACTACATCACCTACCAGAAAGGGTTATCGTGATGACCAAGAACTTTGCAAGCCTACAGGTCTTATAAATATCAGTTATAATAATTATAATAGATTCATGAGAAACAATTTAGGGGAAAAGTAGGTAGAAAGGAAAGTGGGGTTCCAAGGTTGTTGTATAGTCAAACAGCCAATTTCTTTGTTAGAAACAAATTGTATCTTTTAAGAGGAAAGAAATAAATGTGAAATACTACAAAGAGAGGTACCATTCCAAGGCTAGACTACATGTAATTATTCACAATTGGGGGGATTGTTATTGTTAATGATGAAATACTACAACTAATGGTATTTTTTCAACCAACCAGCAAGCCTTTATTAAGTGCCTACGATATGCCAAAGTGTGCTAGGCACTTGGAGGGATACAAATGCAAAGATAAGACAAATAGTCAATAAACATTTATCAGGCACCTACTATATACGTTCAAGCACTGTGCTGGCGATACAAAAAAAGTTAAAATACAGTCCCTGATCTTAAGGTGCTCACAGCCTAATGGGGAAGGCAATGTACAAACAACTACATACAAACAAGCTACCCACAGGATAAAGTGTAAATAATCAATGGAGGGAAAGCATTAGAATTAAAGAAGACTAGAAAAGACTTCTTGTGGAAGGAGAGATTTTAGCTGGAACTTGAAGGAAGCCAGGAAATAGAGATGAGGAGGGAGAGAGTCTGAGGCGCCGGGGGCAGTCAGGGAAAACTCCTGGAGTCTGGAAATGGGGTTTCTTGTTTGAGGAACAGTAAGACGGCCACTGACTGTCCAATAACCAAGGTATCCTTTGCTATTATTTGGCTCAAGAAACTCTCCATGTAAAGGAGCCAACAGAACATGGGACAGAGGATTTCGAATCGATAAAATAGCCTGGGTGGAAAACATTTACATTTCCTAGATATGGACTGGGGCATCAAGCGATAAAAGGTAGGAAAAGTTATAAGAAATTGGGGGGTTTAGGCATGTTGTAGGGGCAGAGTAAGAAAAAAACCAAAGCAGCAGAATCAAATGGAAAGTGCTAGATTTGGAATCCGAGAATTTAGGTTCAAATCCTCAATCTTAGTCTGTAGGATCTTGAGTAAGTTACTGAATTTCTCTGGATTTCCATTTCTTCATCTGTAGAATGAGGAGGTTAAGACTAAATGGGCTCTAAAAGCCCCTGCCAGACCTCAACCTACAATCCCACGAAATTATGACCGTGAGCCAAGTTCGACAAAGGATTTCAGGTACATACGGCCTGCGGGCCACTTGTAGCCCACCAAAGTGGCCCGCAGGCAGTATGTTGTGCAGGCCTGCTGTAAGCTAATGTTCAAAGTTCACAAAAAATTTGTCATGTATTATATTTATTAGTTCCAAACTAGCTGGATTATTTGTATCCTTTCCTACAAAAAGCAACTGGAGAAAGTATTTTAAAAAAATTAACTGGAAGACAATCATCATTTGAAGCAATGAGAAATAATTGTAAAGAAACTCAAAGTTAAGTATGCAAGTTAATAAGATAGTACCATATGCAATAGATTGCCTCCAATGCCATGTCACGTTGGGTTTTTTTCTTTGTGATAACCCCTTAACACCTAGTTACCAGGTAGATTTCAGCTCATTCTGTTGGCCCCTCCATACAGAACGCAGAACGATCCAATCACTGATGCAAGTTGATCACTTAAGCCCAGCCATTGTTTTGTTCCACAGGACCGAATGTGGAGGAAAAACAGAGCAAAGACTTCCAACCCCAATTGCATAGGCATTGACCTCAATAGGAATTTTAACGCCTCATGGGACTGTAAGTAGAAGACAATTTCAAGATAAACTGTAGGTTCAGAGAGTAAAATTAACTCTGCCACTGATTTTATTTTCAAATCAATATGTATTAGGTCTTTCCTGACTAAACAGCACTGTGCTAAATATTGAGTGAGAGAGGGAGTAAGGAACGTAAAAAAGGTAAAGAGAGAAGGAGGAGGAAAGGATACCCAGTTTAGAAATATGGGCTTTTTGCTACAGTATAAGAAAGGATACAGATAACTGTATTAAACATATACATAATAAGTATATTAGGCTTATCCGAGACAAACTAAAGAGGGAAACTCATCACCAACATTGGGAGTAGGGCAAGGGGGCAGTTGGACATTAGAGATCCAAAGAGGAAGTGGCAGTGAATTGGGCTTTAAGAAGGGTAAGGAAATCAACAGATTCAGCTACGGAAAGACATTCCATATATGGAGAACAGAGGCACAGAAATGGAGAAAACACAGGACTATTTGTGATAAGGATACAAAGAATAAAGCAGTTTGACTACGGTATTGGTTTTCTTGTATATAAAACAAAGGAAAATCAGCACTATTCTAGAGGGGTATTGTGAAGATTCATTGTTTGGTTGATTTAGGACTGGTACCATGGTGTTTTGGATAATACTGGGCTTAGGGTCAGAAGGGACCTTGGTTCTAATTCATCCTCTAGCAATTAGTAGCTATATAACCATGAGCAAGTCAGGTAACTTCACTGAGCCTCAGTTTCCTCATCTGCAAAATGAGGATAACAGTACTTGCTTAAAAGGCTTGTCATGAGGATCAAATTAGACAATGTTTATAAGTGTTTTGCAAACCTTAGAGGGCAATATAAAACATCAGGTATTCTTGTGGTCTATCTTTTATTTCTTAGAAATAGAACAAAAATCTCATATACATCCAGATTGACCACAAATAGTTGTCTGAATGTTCCAGAATACCAATAATCTGGGATGAGGTCTCACTTCCCTTTTCCTTCCTGGGAGAGAAGTTGGAAAGGTCTAATACAGTACGGAAGCATCCCTTTTGGGAAAGCTGATGTACCAGCTCCTCTCCAGTTTGCCAATATCCCTGAAGAGATAAATACTCTTGCTAAATAACACAATACACTGGAAATTCATATTGGCCCCAGATACATCCAGTGTGCTTCTTATTCATTTCCAGTCACAAATGATACATTTCAAGTAAATATTTCCAAGCACTTTATTTTTCTTGATCAGCCTGGCTAAGTCCTTTTCATCTGAAATTGACCTCCCCATTCTCCATGTTGCTAAGCCAGAGTTGCTTAAATAACTGACAAATCTTTTTTTTAAGTTCAGCTTATCAGAGAAGCATTAAAGTTAGCACACCTAGAACTCGATTATCAGTTAAGAGGCATTTATTAAGCACCTACTATGTGCCAGACACTGGGTATACAAAAGCATATATCATTCTTGTCTTCTAAAAGTTTACATTCTATCAGAAGCAACAGCATATGCAGATAAAAGCATATATGAAACATACAAAATATATACAAGATAAATTGAGAGGAGAGCAGTTTGAGCTATCAGGAAAGGTTTCATGCATAAAGTGGCCCCTTGAGTTAAGTTCTGAAGGAAACAAGGAAATAAGTGATGTGTTAAAAAGTTAAAATGAGTTCATTTTAATTAGAAAAGTCTACAGGATCTGATGTTTGTAGCTTTTCTGGGCACCATTCCCAGGATATTGGAAATGTAGGAAAGATTTTTTTGCACTAAGAAGAGTGATCGCAGTCTAATATATTTGGACAATTTCTTATTTATACAAAATTAGACTCCAATGATAATTGAGAGTAGAAGTTAGGACCTAGATAGACAGAATGTTGAGAAGAGTTACTAGACAGTCAACTAGCATTCATTAGACATCTGCTATATTCCAGCCACTGTGCTAAGTACTGAGGATATGAAGAAAAGCCAAAAACGAAAGAAAAGAAACAAAAAATAAAACATCCCTGCTCTCTAAAAGCTCAAAGTCTACTGGAGAGACAACATAAAAATAACTGTGTACAGACAAGATATAGACAGGATAAATAGGGAAGTCTCAGAGGGAATGCACAAAAATTAAGGACTAGGAAAGACATCCTACAGAAGATAGGACTTTGGATGTGACTCAAAGGAAACCAGGGAAACAGGGAAGCAAGATTAGGAGGAAGAGCATTTCAGGCAATGGGAGGATGGCCAGTGAAAACACTCAGAGTAAAGAGATGGTGTGTTGTGTGTGAGGAATAGCAAGACGTCCAGGGTCACTGGATCATAGAGTAAATTGGAAGTAATAAGCTCTCAGTGGACCAGAAAGACCATTTTATATTCAGTTCTGGAGGTAATCAGGACATCTAAATCAGATGAGGCTTAAGCCGTCCTGATGGAGGACAGACTATGAATGACCCTATTGTTTACGTCCTCTTTTTTTTTTCTTTTTTTACAGCTCAGCTTGGGACAAACAACCCTTGCTGTGAAATCTATAAGGGAAAGGCACCAGAGTCTGAGAAAGAAACCAAAGCTGTGGTTAACTTCATTCGAAGCCACATTGATTCAATTGAAGCCTATGTGTCGATCCATGCCTTTTCCCAGATGCTCCTGTTTCCCTATGGATACACTGAAGTCCCAGTACCGAATAATGAGGAACTGGTAGGTTGTTTTTTTTTTAATGATGTCTCTGATTTGCATACTTCTACCACCAATGGCCTCTGACCCAATCTTTATTAACACAGCTTCATAAGCAACGCAACAGCGAAGTTAATGTTTGTGAGAAAAGAAGGAACTTCGGATTAATTTTCCACCTGACAAAGGTTTATTTAAATGTGAAGTGGCCTAGAGAGGTTTTTACTATAAAATAACACAGAAAGATACAAGCAATCTCTGAGGTGGGATGGAGTAGATGTCATTACAACCAATCTGACACTTAATGAGATTTCATATAACGAACCCTGATGGACCACTTTAAAGTTTACAAAGCATTTCACTGTACGTTTCACAACACTGAAGTAGGTATTGTGAGCGACATCATGCTTGTTCTACAGATGAACAAATGAGACTCTGAGGAGTGAATTACCTGTTGTTGTAATTGTTCAGTCATTTTTAATCATGTCTGACTCTTCATGACCCTATTTGGTATTTTCTTGGCAAAGATACTAGAGTGGGTTGCTATTTCCTTCTCCAGGCCACTTTACAGATGAGGAAACTGAGGCAAACAGGCTTAAGTGACTTGTCCGGGGTCACACAGTTAGTAAGTGTCTCAGGCCAGATTTGAACTAGGGTCTTCCTCACCTGACTTCAGGCCCAGCACTCTATCGACTGTGCTACCTAGCTGCCCCATGCTTACCTAGAGTCACACAGTTAATAAGTTCAAACCCAGATCTGAAAGTGAGGAGCCTCACTTTCCCCATCTGGAAACTAGAAGTAAAATGCCCTACACTATCACCCTCAAAGGGTTGTTCTGAGGAAAGGGCTTTGTAAACTTCAAAGTGATACACAAATATAAATATTGCATCAACCTGAAATGACACATAACCTCTCCCCAAAGAAAAAACACTGAAAATCTTTACTCAGATTCCCAGCTAAAGATGGACTGTCTTCCCTGAGCTAAAAAGTATTGATGACGGTTTTCCTTTCTACTTAAACAGATAACATGATAGTAGGCATCTTTTAAAAAAAAAAAGCTGGTTTGATCATTCTGATGTTCACATACGTAAGAATAACAGGTCCTAGAGAAACATGTATATATATGTGTGTGTATGTGTGTGCATGTGTGTAGTCTATATGTATATATACATGTGCATGCATGTATACATGTTCATTGAGAACCTGATTCTTGTATATGTGAATGTGAGAATTTACATACATAAATTCTCTCATGTATATATGAGAAATATACACATATCTGTATGATATGTATACATGTGTACATGTGTATTTGCATATATTATGTTATATCATATCATATTAGTATTATATTTTTCTGCAACACCTATGATTCTTCTCCATGGGAGTTCAAGAATTTATTAAATAAGATATTTTTAAAGTTAACTTTAATGATATACATGTGTGCATGTAAGCATATGTGTGTACACACATGTATATATTGTATTGCACTGTGTGCATGGTGTATGCATAAACATGTGTGTCTGTGTGTGCAATATATAAATGTATGTTCTCATACCTATATAAATGCAGTGTTAATGTACATATTTGCACATGTGCATACATGCATGAACATATATTTAAATGTGTGTATATATATCATACGTAAATATGTGTACCATTAAAGTAAACTTTTGAAAAATAACTCACTTAATAAATGCAAATACTCCCATATGCAAGAATCATAGGTTCTAGAGAAAAACACATATATATTCATATACATATAATATACATGAACATACATATATAACATATACGCCCTTCACAGGACAAGAAACGAAGTCCACAGGGTTCTGTATATCGAATCTCCTTGTGAACCCTAGATAAGTCCTACCCTATCAAGACTGGGGTCAAACTCTGCCCACAAGCAAAAAGGAGAGGTCAAACCAATCATGCTGACTCCATAGGGATGTTAGTAGCTCCTTGGCACACCAGTCTTAGTGGACAGGAAGATTTCAAAGAGTACTTTAAGCCATCTATCTATATACAACAAGAAGAAACAAACAAGTGAATGCAACCATCATTCTGAGAACTAACCTGGTTGAGAACTTGAGCACACATGACAAAGGCAATGTGGTAAGAAGAGAAAGGCTATTGGGTCAAAAGAATGATACACATTCAAAGAATGTTACTCTTTAAACAAGGTTGTTACTCTTTAAAAAAGGCCGCAGAGCATCATAAAGAGCCAGGCTCAAAGTCAGGAGGTCCTGAATTTAAATATTACCTCCCACCTGTACTAGCTATGTAACCCTGTTCTTTCCCCTCCCAGGGCCCTAGGCATCTCTAAGAATATAAGTTTCAAAGAAGATGCTGAGGGAGAGGGAGAGGTAGTTCTACATTGGCAGGTCCCTGCATAGATAAAATCACAGGTCTGATTTTTTTTTTGTTTTTTTTTTTGTTTTTTTTAAGTTTTACAGATCGTTGTTATATCCAGGCAATTGTGGGCAACAACTCAATTTGTGAAAATCCCCAGATTACAGTACATTTGTTACCTGAGCTCTTCAGGACATTTTGAGGTCTGTATTTGTAGTATTGGGCAGCCAGGTGGCGCGGCAGTTAGAGCGCTGGGCCTGGTTCAAATCTGGCCTTAAACATTTACTAGCTATGCGACGATGGGCAATTCACTTAACCCTATTTGCCTCAGTTCCTCATCTGTAAAATGAGCTGGAGAAGGAAATGGCAAACCACTCCAGTGTCTCTGCCAAGAAAACCCCAAATGGGGTCACAGAGTCAGACACAACTGAAACAACTCAACAATTTGTAGTTTGGCAATTTGTCTTCTGTTAGGTCGTAAAAATAATGATTTATAATCCTAGCCCCAGTCACCAATTCTAAGAGCTCACAACTTACGAGGTATTCAAGAGGTGCTAAAGTTTTTTACAGCCTACAATTATTACTATCATTATTATATGCACCAGACAACTTCTGGCCAAAGAAATTAGCAAAGTTAACTCATAGCATAGTATGGCGAAAAGACCCCTATCTCTGTCAGAGGACCTGTATCCAAATCCCACCTCTGATGCTTATTACCTGTGTAACCTTAGGAAAATCACTTAACATTTCTGGGCCTCAGCTTCCTAATCTGCAAAATAAAGGCCATTGAAACCCTCCCAGCTCTAGATCCATGGTTATGTGATTCTATGAAAAAGATTCATCCAGCTAGTAGAGCTGGCACTTCATTTCAAAAGGAGGCTACAGGAAGAAAAAAAAAGATGCACAAACACGCATACCTAAAATACTCTTGGTAAAATAAAAGCACTTACAGAGATCTTTGTATAGTAATTGATCGGGGGGGAAATTCGATAACTTGTCCTGCTGACTACATACACATATATTGCCATATATAAAAAACCCAAGAAAGCTCATGAAGGTGATAGTAACACTATTCTGCCCTGTTCCTTTCCAATAATTATTCACTTCTCACAGACGCTGCTCTCTTGAGGTATTTACAAATAAGAGGAAAATCATCCCTTTGAGGGAGAAGCAGTGGTAGTGTTAGTTCATAATAGTAATGTGAGAGAGGCATTGATGACATCAGTTCCATAACTATGGGGCGCTTCGATAGATGGCAAAAGAAAAGTATTAGATGCTGAAGGATTGACAAGAAAACAGGAGGGACAAAAAAGGTAGGAATAAAGAATTCCTCCATCCCATCTACTTATGCCCCATAGTTAGAGGAAGGCAGCATCTCTGGGGCTGAGAAGGCTATGAGTACGTAAAGAAAGATTAAGCAGGGAAGACTGCATGGGTGGGAACAAAGGAGCACCTTTACATTGGGTGTACCCCCATCCCCGGATTGCACTCCCTTCCCACCTCTGCCTCTTGGCATACTTGACTTCCTTCAAAACTCAGCTCGAGTTACCTTCTTCATGAATCCTTTCTTGATCTTCTCTATTTGGGAACTCCAACGTATGTGATTAAGGCAGTGTGGCACAATAGAAAGGGTATTGGGGTCAAGAGAACAATGTTCACAATGTCACAATAATATAATTGATAACACAAAAGGGAGTTGAACTCTGATGAACTGTAGTGAATAATCACAGTCTGAAGAGCTGTGAGTGCTCAGTAGAGAGGTAAGGAACAACAGATGTGGAATATGACGTGCATTGTTAGGCATTGTCAAGCTGTGTCAGTTGGCTTTGCTTAAATGTTCTTTGTTCAAGGAGAGGTTCAATGATGAGGGAGGGGCAAGGTTAAGGGGGCACCCCTAGTGCCCTTTCTCCTAAAACTACCTTGTGTTCATTCTTCCCATTTGTATGTAAGGGGGTGACCCTCGACTATTCCCTTGGCTAGGGCATGTCTGCTTCTGAGAAAAGCAGTTGTTAAGGCTGCCTTGACAGTTTGCTCGTGTAGGGCATAGTTCTGCTCAGGGCTTTTAAGTTACTAAGTCCAACTCAGCATTCTGAAATAGTATTTGCTATTTGTATAGGACAAACTATAGAATATTGGAGAACACAGTTTGTTTCAGTGATTTGCATATGTAAAATTTAAGAATTGTAGGACTTTGGGGTTAATAACTTAGGAAATACGAACACCACAACTGTTCCATGATTCTGTTCTATGATTA